CCCCAAAACCCCAAAACCCCAAAACCCCAAAACCCCACATGTGATCATTTTACTTTATAAAAATATTATTTGGAATACCCTTCAATAATGGATAATCAAGAAAGTGTATACCAACAACTGACTTCGTTACAACAAGACATGAAGCAGTTCCATATCTCCAGTATAAAGAAGGCTCAATGGGAGAAACAACAGCTTGATAGTCTTCTCTATGAGTAAGCACCCTAAGATATTCTTGCTATATTTTAATGATATCTTACTAATTTCTTTCCAACAGCACGGATAAGTCAGATGGAATAGTTAAGATGTTCACCTCATATTTAAGAGAAAGCTCTGAATTTCAGACAATGCTCGGTAATACTTTTGGTAATCTCTCCAGTGGGCTCAGCCATACAAAAAGTGTTAGTAACCGAAAAAGAAGTGGAGCAAAGATTTAGCTCAAATTATGTTTCTCATTTAAAATAGCATTCTTCATAATTTCCTCACTGATAAGGAAGTCTTTAAGTATGTTATCAATGATGCTATCTCTAACTGGCAAACTTTCGATCAAAAATCTCTAGCAGAGTTTCTTGTCTTCGATATTTTCAAAGAATTTGACTGTAAGTCCTAATTTTATCTCTCTAGTCAAGCCAATGTCTGAAAGCAGAGATAAACTCTTCAACAAATATGAGAAGTAAGACTAACTCTAATTCTTAGGTTAAAAATAATCGTTCATTATGACATCCAGAACTTGATCGAGAAAGATCTTATTGGTCAGCATGCCAATAAGAGCTTCACATCTTACATGCTGAACTGACTAATCAACAAGCCTGAGACCCGAAAAGATGTCATAAAGGCCCTAGGAGAATTTTACGATGAAATTGACTTTGACATTCTTGAGAAAATGGAATTTGAAGTCAACCATTCTCCTTCTGAGTCGAAGAAAAAGAGGAGAAATGCATTTCATCGAAGAAATCGGGTGCGAAGAAAAACAACAGAAATTGAGAAGACACCAAAAGATTCAGAAGATTTTGATGTCGATGCAATCCGAAAGTCTAGTTATACAGCTGCTATTGAGATTATTGAGAGAAGGAGGAAGAGGTATTCTCACAAGATTATTAGTCAATCACCTCTCAAGAAAAGGACTAAGTCGACAGAGAAAGTTTACATACCTCAGACTCTTCCAAAAATTAAAAATAGATGCTCTTCAAAGGGACCGTTGAGAGATTTTAAGCTATTCAATATCCAAAAACAAGACTCAGCCAAAATTACAGAAAAGATTAATGATTTCGATAGCGAAAGAGGAATAGAATATCTCGTCAGCATGATACCTATGGAAATAAGAATTCTATGCAAAGTCATATATAATACACTCAAGAATAACAAATAAGGACATTGAGTTTAACAGTGATAATGATTTCTTAGAGATCCTAGGAAATTTCTTATATTACAATTGGTTAATATTCGTTCTTTTCATTCAACCGCACATCTACGGATTACTCAGAAACAATGATATCCATGCTCTCCTCAAAGTAAGGGTCAACTAAAGAATATGTATAGGCAATGACGCATAGAATAAAAGGAAATCCAATCTTACTCCCAGAATTATTCAATGAAATGCCAAATTTCCCATATAACATACAAGAAGAAGATTTAGGTTTCAGGTTCATAAAAAGCATCATAAATATCAACATTCCAATCGATGAAAATGGTAAAATATCTTCAAATATGAGTCTAGATCCTGAAGACAATCAGAGCTTACCAGTCTCGATCAACTTGGTGTCTGAAAGTACCTTTAAATCTTACCTAAATAGGTGTTCTTTACAAACTAAAAAGGACTCTAGACCAAGCTTATGCCTTAAGTGTATCTTTCCTTTCAAATCTATATAGCAAGAAGAGTCTAAAGAGGAAGAGAAAATGAGTTTTAAACTAGTAAGGGCATTTTAACCAAAAGGCTATATTTCAGGGCAAATAATGACACTCAATTTCTAACTAAATTAGCCTAACCCTTCCTTAAGCTGGAATAAAAGAAGGTAGATTAAAGAAAGAGATTTGAGAGAAATTAGAAGAAATTTGATGATTTGGTACTAAACTGACTGAGATAGAGGAGGTTTAGGGAAAGAATGGGAATTAGCTCTTTAAGATTGATGATTTTGTGGTAGAAGGAAATATAGTTAAAGATTAGTTTTGTTATGAAAAATTAAGATTTTTGGTTATAGAAGAGTAGTTAATAAATACTCATCTAACTAACAACAAAATATACAAAAAAAAATTATCTGCACAGACTTAAAAATTATTATCACCACTAAACTCTAAATCTCTAGTCTCTCTCCCTCAAAAACTCGATCACCGGTTTACAATATTTCGAAAAACAAGACAGCTTCTACTCAAGATACCTCGCCAAGCAATCCCTCCTCACCCGTAACAGCCACTCCGATACCGAAGAAGACCTCGAAGAAGTCCTCTCCCAAGAAATGCGCTTAACCGTCTACAAATCAAAAGTAACCTCCTTCTCACCCATAGAGTAAAAAACAGTACAAAGTCTCTAAATAAGCTGGTATCAAAAATAGAAGATTCTAGTCCTTACTCCAGTTACCTAGAAGCCTTTGACTCATCAAGTGATTACCAGAGAGTAATGACTGCCATCAGTGACAATTATGTGTTATTGGTCAAGGAGATTGCAGGAAAAGAGGAGATTGGAGTCAAGAAGATTGTCAATCAAGTCGCCAGAAGGATTAAGGTGTTGGCGAAACAGGACCAGACGGAGGAGGTACAGAAGGAGATGAGGAAGTATACGCTTCAGAAGTTGTTGGTTCAGATCTTGCTTGATGGACCAGATTTGAGGTTTTTGCCATGTATGTTTATTTAGAGGGGTGGTGATGTGTGAGGTTTGATTAGATCTCGAAATTTGTAACTAGAAATTTTTGATATATCGATTAAAATTTGGATTTTAATAGAGTGAATAAGTTTTCTCTTACTCAAGAATTCTGTGGTAAACAATTAATCTAAAATTTTAAGATATAAACTAATCATTACATAGTCTGAGAGCCAGAGCACACTCAAAATCAACTAGGAACGCCAAACTCTAATAAACAAGAGAACCTCAGCGAGATCTTAAACTTCATAATCCGAAAATGCACCTCTAAAGACCAAGAAACAACAATGCTGACACTAATCTCAATCCTAAAATCCCTCCTCACACCCACTACCAAGGTACGAACATTGCCCAAACTCCCTTCTTCCTTCCAAATTCCATTTATCCACCCCAAACCTAGACTACACCTCTAAAACCCCTGCTCCAAGAAATACACGAACAGAACCTGACCACAATGCAAAAAGACGATGCCCTCCTCTACAAAATCAATGACCTACAAGGCTACTGCAGAAAAGGCATCTTCGAGGCCAGCATCCAAGACATTGAGTCTACAAAACAAAATTGGAAAAGAATAGAGTTCTTTAAGGAACTAGAAGTCAATATCTGCATTGAGTAGGCTTACAGAGTTAGATATAGGTACTGGGTCAAGTATAGAGGCAGACATCACGGATCCCCATCCATGATTAAGAGTAAGAGAGCAGCTTAGTTTTAGTCAAAGAGAGCAGTGAGTGAAGTATATGACAGAAGAAAGAACATGAGGAGTCGATGAAGGGTGGGAAAGGCTCTAAGTTTGGATTTACTAACCTCTTTTGGTCCTTGAGTCCTACTAGAAAAGAAGAGAGTAAATTAGACACAGAAGATACAGATGAAGGTATTTGTTAGTTCTAAAATTCTAGATTCTTTCAAACAAACTCACCATAAACACTTCAGATGATATTCTATCGATGAATTCTTCAGAATATTTAGAACTCTTCCCATCTACGAATCCCTGGGGTGCACAGAGGAACTTCAAACAAGTTAGACTTCTGTTTAACCCCAATAGGCTACTCAGATTTTCTAAATATCATAAAATCCTTAATAAAATCCAACTCAGATTTAGACTTAGAGCCAAACCTCAAAGCTATCAATGAATATTGGGTGCATAAATACTTAAAATTCAGTGACATAGAAGAAGAGTTCCCAGGTGAAGATGATGTTAAGTTCAATGCAAAACTCCAAGAACTTCGTAAAGAGTTTACCCTAATTCCATAGGTCTGACTGGCTACTCGAGCAAGCTAGAAGTTCCCTGCTTTAAGAAGGAATGAGACTTATTTACCAAAAGCTGATGGGCTAACCAATTTAAAGAATGAATCTCAGCAATTGAAAGCCTGCATTCCCTCAATGCTCCAACTAAAAAGCTAGACAGGTTCCTTAAAATTCTGGATAGTATTAGCAAGAGCTTTGTGTTTCTCACAAATAAGACAGGTATATTATCTCTTATCCTTTAGATGACCAAGCCTCAGTTGATGACATTTTACACCTCCTTTGTTACATCATCTTAAGCAGTAATGCTACAAATCTCATATGTGATCTCAGATACATCCAAACATTCTATTACTTCACAGAAGACCAGAAGTATGGCAAGACCTCTTTCTGCCTTAAAAACCTTGAAATTGCTATTGAGTACTTAAAGACAGCCGGGATAGAGAAAGACGATGATGATTTTGAGCTAAAGGAAGAATAATTTGGCTTCCTCATAAGCAAGATTAAGCTAGACGATCATGTATTCTAGTCAGCCTAATCCAAAATTATTCATTATTTCAGTATCTAGTCTTAATCCCGGGGTTTTGGGGTTTTGGGGTTTTGGGGTTTTGGGG